ATTCCTGTACTTACCCAATACCAGTTCAGAATATAAGTCCTAAAACTTCCTTCAGGATCAGCCACAAAGCCCACCTGCTTCAGCCTCTAATGGCTGTCTTTCCTTTAAAATCCTACCCCTGAGATTGTGTACCATCCACATACTGCTGGAGGAGACAAAGTAGACAGTTAACCAGTCCACCATACATTCACATTCTCCAAACTTGGGCACCCATTGCCATTCAAATACTCTAGGAATTATCTAAGGCAGATTTCTGACATGTTTGCCCAAGTTCAGGAATCCTTCCTTTGATGATGCTGCCTCCATTCCTGGAAAAAATGAAGGCAATGTGGATGGAACTCCTCACATTATCTCTTGACTTAAAAATTTCTCTGCATCCTCCTACATTCACCCTTCCTTCTCTTCTGTTTCAAAATTGAAGTACTTCCAAATGTCAGCAGAATTATTTCTGAGTTACCCAAAATTGAAAACAACCCAAATGCCCATGCATAGGTAAATGGAGAAATAAACTGTGACATATCCACACAATGAAATAGTACTCAGCAATGAAAAGGAAGGAGCTACAGCCACATGCAACAATATGGATGAATCTAAAAAAAATGATACTGAGTAAAAGAAGCCAAAGAGAGCACACAATGTTGATGTTACTGATATAAAATTCTAGAAACTGCAAATTAAGCTATAGCAAAAGAAGCAGACTCATTGGTTCCTGGGAATGAGGCAAAGAGGAGGAGGGGAGGATCATAAAAGAGCAAGAAAACATTTTGGGATAATGGACATATTCATTATCTGGATAGCAGTAATGGTTGTGCATGTAGGTACATTTGTGAAAATGTATCAAAGTGTATACTTTACATATACACAGTTTATTGTATGTCAACAAAGCTGTTAAAAAATGGATTCTTCCTTCCTAGACTACCTACTGTATCTGAATACTCTTGGTCCTATTCCTTCTTATCTCCTATAAAACACTTCATCCCTTTCTTTCCTGCACCATTATTCCCTTTCTCTTGCTTCCTGTCTTTTGCACCCCAGTGGACCTTGTTGGCATAAACTAGTGAATCTAAATCGACTATCCTACCAACTGATTTCTCTGACCTCTTTGCTTCTCAGCTGCAATCTCTTTTTTTTCCTTAACCCTCCAAATATTTATAATGAGCAATGCCCGCCCATTCCAACATATCCCATTTATTCCTCAACTCTTGTCCCTCCTGCATCTCTCTCCACTACTCTAGCAGAACTGCTTTCTTCTAGATCTTTGAAGATGTCCGAACTGTCACTTCAATAATGTCTTCTCAGTTTATTCCCTCCAGGCTCTATAGCGCAACATTCAACTGGTTGAACGTCCAATCTGAACATCCCACTGACGTCTTATTCAATAGTTCCTCTTCCTTCAAACCCCACCCTGTGAGCTCTCCAATGTTCTGTCCTTGTCTCTCTCTTCACTCCCTACTCTTGATGGACACCAATTCAAGCTTTTTTATACAAACGGCTCACCATGCTACCTTTAGCTCTGACCAGGTTCTGTCTACTTAGTTTCTTTAACGATTTGTTCTGAAGGCATCTTATCATGAACTCTGATGAAATGGTCTTCATTCCATGTATTTGGATATGAAGCTCCTCGGTGACCCCAGGGCTGGGACACTCAGTACCAGCCTCAGCCACTGAATGAAGATAACGCCACACAAGCCAGGAATGGAGATTGATTCCCATGAGAGGGCTTCTATAGGATAAATCCAAGAACTTTTCACAGGTGGTGACTGGAGCCTGAACTTGCAGGACAAAGCCAGAGAGTGGAGGTGAGGACGAGGAAGCCAACCCAGGATGGTTTCCCATTAGAAGCTGATGGACATGTTCCAAAAACCAGGCTGTGTCCATCCTCCACCTGGACTTTTTATCGTACGGGTCAACACACTTCCTACTGAGTTTTCTCTTTCCTGTCACCAGAAGACTCTGAAAGGTATAACCTTCTGACTATGATTTTGAAAATGTTTTCTCCTACTGTCATCACGATAGATAAAAGCTGTGAAAACCTATAAGCTAGAATTTGGCACATTATCATAATTAACAGAAAACATATCCTATATTCTCCAAAGGCTCTCCAAGGAAAGAGAGCTTGTCTGCACATCAGATTATCTCGCTGCAGTGCCTGGGGCACTGTGGTCACCCAACACGCTATTTAAATTCAATTGTGTTGATCTCTAAAGTGTTCTTTTTGCAGGGTAAAGATGTGGAGCATCTCAACTCCCCAACTAGATTAAATTTCCTTTAAGCTAGGCATCACTAACCCTTTCTTTTTATGTCTCATTTCATAACTCCTCTGACTTAAACTCTTCTTAAAGCTTTTAAAAAGCATTGCTTGTAACGTGGAATTTCAACCCCTTATCAGACCCACCAGGCCTGTAGGATGTTGAATCCCTGCTCATTCCTCCCAGTTCATCTTTTGCCACATCACCTTCAAATCCCCTTCACCATGCCCGAAACATATTGGCCTCTTCTTAGGACTTTGAATGAGCCTAGCTCTTTCTACCTTTACGACCTTTGACTGTGGTATTCCCTCTGCCTGGGATGCTTTATCACCTTAAGGACCATCTCCTTAAGAAATGCTCCCAGACTACACGTCTGCAGGTAGCACCTCTGTTCTTTTTTAATTTCCCTATGGTACCCATATTTTCCTTAAGACATCTATCGCACATGCTATTTGCCACATGCTCAGTTTCTGCCTCTCACACTAAGTTACAAGAGGCAAAGATCATTTTGTCTGGTTCAACCATGCCAGCTAGTATGAGTCCTGGCCCTAGTAGAAGCTTAGTAAATATTTGTGAGTAAATAAATGAATACATAAAATTTCCACAGCAGTTAGCTTAATAAATCATGTCTGATTGCCTCTTTTTTCAAAATCTGAAAATAACCTATCCAGGCATTACTACTATTGATTATCACAAAATGGCCAACAAATAGTAAACAACAACCCCATCACTACTGCCTGGTAGTCAACGCAAAAGCAACAAACACCTGCTGATCCGGCAAACTCATTTAACAGACCCATGCCTAAGGTACAGCAACTAAATACAAAAAAATCAGTAGCAGGAGGGTTCAGAAGAACCCGAATGTGGAGACAACCCAAATATCCATCAATGGACTAATGAATAAATAAACATGAACCCGGATAACATTGTGCCAAGAGAAAGAAGCCAGACACAAAAAAACTATCTCTAAGGCAGATTGGTGGTTGCCAGGGACTGGGGAGAAGGAGAATGGGGAGAGTCTGCTTAATGGATAGGGGGTTTCCTTTTGGGGTGGTAGGAACATTCTCAAACCAGATAATGGTGGTGGTTTTGCAGTACCTGGTGAATGTACTGAATACCATTGAAATTTGTACATGAATAAAATGGTTAAAATGGGTAAGCTTTATGTTGTACGTATTTTACCACAATAAATTTAAAAGGGAGGAAGACAACTAAAAATTTCAGAATGTATACTACTTTTTTAAAAAAATATTCAAAACTAGCCTCCAAATGAATGAGGTGGCAAGTAGCCAAGTTAGTCAGTGGTTGCTTTTATCATAGGAAATGTATCATGCTTCAAACCCATAAGCTTCTTCACAAATACTGGCTTTCCAGAGGTCTTGGGACAGGAGGAAGAGGCAGAATTGCCTTGCACTTAAAAAATGTTCCAGACAAGAGGTTTGGGGTGCCCAAGCTTCTAAAGAATTCTGCAGAAAAAGGTTCCCAAATGCATGTTCCATATAGGTTTTGTGGTATGCATGATTACTTTATGTGGCACACAAATGAACATTATTTAATTTTACTGTAATTATTTTTGCTTAGAGTTATATTTGATTAATGGTCAAAACACCAGTTTTCATTTACAGTGATGATAAAATGTCTGTGTTGTTTACAGGCCTGTTTCTAATCCATTTAATCATTTGTATGCAATAAAATTTACTCTGTATGGTGTATAAAGTCATATAACCATCACCATTAAGATACAGGACAGTTCCCTTATTCATCCAAACTCTGTTACCCTGCCCCTTTCTAGCCCCTGCTCTTTGGTCCAGCAATAAAAATGAAGAAACCAGGGACAAACAGTACAATCTGGATGAGTCTCAAATGCATGAGGCTAAGGTAAAGAAGCCAGGTTCAGAGCTTTGAGGTATGAATGAGGAGTAGCTGCAAAGGGGCACAAGATTTGTATTTAGGCTGATGGAAATGTTCTGAAATTAGATGACGGCAATCATCGCACGACTCTGTAAATATGCTAAAAATCAGTGAATTGTACAACTAAAAATATACTAATTTTACGGTATGTAAATTATAACTCCACAAATACTTTATTTTTGTTTATTTAGAGACAGAGTTTCACTCTGTCGCCTAGGCCGGAGTTCAGTGGAGCAATCTTAGCTCACTGCAGCCTCATACTCCCGGGCTCAAGCCATCCTCCCACCTCTGCCATCCAAGTAGCTGGAACTACAGGCAGGCACCAATACACTCAGCTAAATTTTAAATTTCTTGTAGAGATGAGGTCTCACTTTGTCGCCCAGGCTATTCTCGAACTCTTGGCTTCAAATGATCCTCCCACCTCAGCCTCCCAAAGTGCTGGGATTACAGGCATGAGGCACCATACCCAGCTTCCATAAAGACTTAAAAAGAATTATCTTACATCAATTAAAAAAAAAAAAAAAAAAGATATTTCATTACGATCGCATTCTAGAAAGGCAAAACTACAGGAATAGAAAATTGATAAATGTGCCCCTTTACAAATAAATGAAGTTAATGAAAAAATACTTTGATTTAAATGAACGCTAAGAATGAATGCATGGAGATGAGGTAAACTTCATTCAGGAAGCTGGTATGATGAGCGTGGGCTTAGGGACTGATCTGTTTGCCAGAGTCCCTGGATGGATGGGGATGCGCCCCTGCTACCATTCCCAGGGCTGGGGTACGTGCCCCAGCGCAGGTTTGCATAACCTCCCACCCGCAGCCAACACGTCCACTTACTGTGGCGGTGCCGGAGACGGTCTGAGCGCTCGTGTCTGCCGGGCTCTGCTCGGAGTGCGTCTGGGCGGGAGGGTACAGGTTTAACGTGTGCTCGGGAACCGTGGTCTGGCCTGTGTACTCTGGCGCGGGGTGGGGATGAGGGGCTGTGTATTCCGCGGGGATACCGTTTTGCGGGGGAGCAAACTGGGCCGAAGCGTAAGGCTGAGCCATTGTGTCAGGGGCAGCGGCTGCTTCCTGATTACCCTGAAAAATCAAAAAGGTGGAGAGAGGGAGAGAACATCATGAGAAGCCACGCTTCAGAAACTTTCCTCCCAGATCCCAGGACGATCGTGCACTGCGTACTTTCTAGGGGTCACCATGGTGCCACCAGCCTGAGATGGACCAATCTATGGTCATCTTCACCAGACCCCATAAGGAAACAGTAACCATCACTTCTCCCCATTTTACAGATGCAGAAATCCAGGCTTGGAAAAAATAAAGTCACTTTTCCCAAGCCAACCAGCCTAATATTCAAAGACGAGGAGGGTCTGTGGCTTACTAGATTGGAATTTTTTTTTTTTTCTGCCAGATCCTTTTTATTTCATTCCCATTTTGGAAGCTGTGAGCATTTAGTTGTCCGCAGTGACAGCAGAACCTTGATTTGATACTTAAAGTGCCAAGAGAGATTAAATTGAACGTGTGTGTTCTTGAGAGGAGAGACAATTTATGTAAGCATTTGAATTTAATCAAAGTTTTATGTGACTTGGCTCACATAATGGGAAGAGGGAGTATCCTTTTAATGGTCCTAGTGTCTGTGTGGTTGTGTGTTATGTTGTGTGTGTCTGTGTGTGTGTGTATGTGTGTGATGTCCCCAGTGCCAAAATAAAGCAGCTGATAAAAATTCAGGGCCTAATTTGGACAAAGATTGTTCTCTCTGACATCCCCATTTTAAGCATTTCTGAAAAATATTGGATTTAACTCTTAGTCTCATTAGTCCATGCCTCACCCTCCCTGCCTTGCTTTTTTATGAGCACGGAGTATTATATAACAATTCATTCTTCAGATCTAGGCAAAACATGCAGTGTGACAATTACAGCCAACTCAGAAGAATTTTAAAAACACACACAACAAAAACCTGAATTCAAATGCTTCCATTTCAGGAAACATCTCTCTCTCTACCTCCTCCTCCACAGTCCTGCCACAACACACACATACACGCACGCGCGTGCACACACACACACACACGGCATAAGAAATGGTAACCCAAAGGTCCAAATTTTCCATGGTCTCAGTAGATGGGATCAAACAGTCAGAAAGACAGAGAGAGGAAAAAATCTTAGCAATTAAGCACACGAAATAGCTGCCTCTCCTATTGTCTGTGGTAAATTAGATGTGACTTTAGCCCTCGTACAATGATACCAGGGCAAAAATACCAGAATTGCTCCTTATCTCTTTGGTACTCGCCACCAACATCCGAAATCCTCTTTCTCTAAAGCAATTTGAGTGCAGCAAAAACATGATGACAGAAAGAAGGGAAGAAAAAAATAAGTTTGTTCTCAGAGCAGCACACAGAACTGGTGCATTTGTTTAGAAGGGACCTTAATTAGAATGTTAAAGATGACACTTGGAAGAGAACTAAGCTTAGGATAAGTTTAAACATTTTACAAGTAAAAACATTCCCATCAGGCTTTTCCCTCCTCCAGACAAATTTCTCCAAATGTCTGTGCCATTGGAAACAAAAGGACACAAGCGTTTCTTTCTCTTTCTAACATTTTCCCATAGCACTGGGGCCAGGGCCATGGAGGGTGTGCCTATGCTGAGGCTGAGTTGCTATCCATGAGCAGTTAATCCTGCCCATCCTTGGGAAGCCACAGAAGACATGCACTGATATTGCTGGTCTGTCATCACTCCTGTTTCTTCAACAAGACCCCAGTTTCCTTCTGGGGGACAATCCCACTCTTAGCCTGTATGGTGCAGATACAGTTGGACCCAGCTCCTGGTCACTGCGAGATGAGCCATACGACACCAGCCTGGCCAATCAGAAGGTCCCACTGAAACAGTCCCATGGATTTGGGTTCAAGCACATCTATTGAGTGAGTCCATTAGTGCATTAAGGCCTAGCCACAAGACTGAGTCCCAGTCACCCTGGGGTTTTGCTGTAGTTTTGGGGAAGATTCTCTTTCCACTCTGGCAGCTGTAAAAATAACATAAGCCTGGAGCTGCCGAGAACTGACACTTAGGCTGGGCATGTTGCCTCACGCCTGTAATTCCAGCACTTTGGGAGGCCAAAGCAGGTGGAATACTTGAGATCAGGAGTTCGAGACCAGACTGGGCAACATGGTGAAACCCCATCTCTACTAAAAATACAAAAATTAGCCAGGCGTGGTAGCACACGCCTGTAATCTTAGCTACTCAGGAGGCTGAGGCAGGAGAATCACTTGAATGTTGGAGGTGGAAGTTGCAGTGAGCTGAGAGCGCACCACTGCACTCCAGCCTGGGCCACAGAGCAAGATTCTGTCAACAACAACAACAACAACAACAACAACAACAACAGAACTGCCACTTGAAGGGGACCTGCCTACAGGTGAGGCCAAACTAGAGGAAAATGAAGAGAAGAAACTGAGGAATAGAGAGGTTTCTACTGAGTCCCACTGACATCATTTGAGTCTTGAATCCAGCATTACCCGCAGTTAGCACCACCCCTGTTTGTTTTACTAACACAAGTCAGTAAACGTCCTATATTTTAACAGCTTTACTTAGATATCATTAACATAAAAATTATTTATGTGAGGTGTATAACTTGATGTTTTGACATATGTATACATTGTGAAGTGACCACATTCCAGGTAATTAGCATATCCATCACTTCTACATGATTTCCATTTGTGTGTGTGGTGAGATTTAATTTAAGATCTATCCGCTTAGCACATTTCCAGTATATAATACAGTATTTTTAACTCTTGTTCCCATGCTGTACTTAAATCTCCAGAACGTATCTGTCTTGCAAAACTGACACTTCATACCCTTTATCTCATTTTTTAAGCTACTTTTTCTGTTACTTACAACCAAAAGGGTCTTGACTAATTAAAAAAAGGAAAAAACAAAAAACAACAACAAAAAAAACTTCTGCTGTTTTATAACTAAACTAGTGTCTTTTCTTTTTCTAGGCTGTTCAGGGAACATATCCTTCTGTACAGAAATTTCATAGCGATGCCACTTCTCTATGGGTGATGAAAAGCCCCAGAAATGTTAGGATCTTGGGAGCCATCTGATGAGAAATTCATTGTGCCAGAGGCAGCTTCTGCTCAAAGGTCTGTTTCTGTCTCCCCAACCTTCTACCTGGCCCATCTCTGAATTGAAAGATAGACTTGTGCAAACTCTTCCAGGGAAGCACAGAATAATCACACAAGCAGTGGTATGGACAATGATCATATGAAGAGAAAGGCTTCCCTCCTCCACTTCCAGCAGAAGATACTTTCACCAGGAACATATATAACCCTGGGGCTTTTCATCAGTGCAGAGCAACCTCAGGAAAAGTGGCCCATTCCTACTAGTTCCTGCAAAAAAGCCAAGGCTCCTTGTAGACTTGGAGCTATCTCTGTATTGAACAGAGAAGGGTCATGCCCTCCAGAAGCTTATGGTAAGTTAAGGGAGAAGAGCTCCATCCTCTCAACTCCATCAAGACTTCACATTCACTGCCCCTCAGCTTAGAAAGCTTCACCTACCCACTTGTCCAGCTAGTCCTTACTCTTCCTTCAGTCCGCATCAAGAGTCCCTCCTCCAGCAGGCTTTCCTTGATGCTAAAAGCCAGTCAGTTGCCCATCCCCTGTACTCCACTGCAGCTGGATGGCCATAGCTCACACAGCTCCAAGTACTGCTGTGTCCTGTTTATTTGTCTGTGAGCTCCCTCAAAACAGGACACTCTGCCACATTCCCTGTCCCATCTCCATGGTCCAACAGCATACTAGCTGCAAAGTGGACATTTATAAATGTCTGCCAAGTGAATATGTGCTTGAAAAATGACCTCTGGGCTCTGTAAAGCCTAGTCTGGCAGCAGGAGATAGGGTAGGGGGATGAGGAGAGGACCTAGCAAATGACTCATGAGGCAAACCTGGCCCAAATTTTCGTTTTGTAAATAAAGTTTTATTGGAACACAGCCATGCTCATTTGTTTACTGTCTGTAGCTGCTTTTGTACTACAAATGCAGAGTTGGATAGCTGTGACAGAGACTGCCTAGCCCACCAAGCCTGAATGATCTATTATCTGGTCCTTTGTGGAAAATATTTTCTAATAGCTGTGGCAGAATGTCATTAGATAGGGGGTCACCAGTTAAGAAGCCATTATTGCATAAATAGTTTGGGCAGGAAATAAAGCAGGCAGTGAAGCAGAAAGAGAGAGAAAGGGGCTGTATTCTCTCTAAACCAAAGAGGGGTGATAGCTAGTCTTGGAGACTGGCAATATTGAAAATGGTGCAAAAACAGTGAGTCAGAATCTTTTGGGGAATTTACTTTCCATTAGCAGATCTTTGACCTGTAAACACACATGCACACAGGCTTTAAATCTACATAAGTGGGCTTTGAGCAGAAGGTTCATGATGGCCTCAGACTTCCATGAAAAGCAGCCCCTTCTCCTCACTGGTCCTCAGAAGAAAACCTAATAGGTGGCAGGCACTGTGCTGGGTGACTCATACCGGCAGTTCTTCCAGAGTGGTGACTGCTCCCCACAGGACATAAGGCAATGACAGGAGACAGTTTTGATTATCACAAATGAGGGAGGATGTGCTACTGCCATCTAGTGGGTGGAGGCCAGGGATGCTGCTAAACATCCTACAGTGTACAGGACTGCCCTGAACCACAAAGGACTATCCCACCCCAAATGTTAATAGTGCCAAGGTCCAGAATCCCCACTTGGCATGCAATGCATCTCTAATCTCAATTTACCTTGTCATCAAAGATGTTCCAGACCAAAGCTGGGAATAATTATTCAAGGTCACAGCCACAGATAGTTCTTAGGGAAGCCAAGAGTTAAACCAAGGCATCTCTCATCTAGCAAGAGAATCACCTGGTGGGGAGTTCACTTCATTATTTTTATTTTTTTTTTTGAGACAGAGTTTTGCTCCTTTTACCCAGGCTGGAGTGCAATGGTGGGATCTCGGCTCACTGCAACCTCTGCCTCCCAGGTTCAAGCGATTCTCCTGCCTCAGCCTCCCGAGTAGCTGGGATTACAGGTGCCCACCACCAGGACTGGCTAATTTCTTGTATTTT